CTAAGGTCTGTGAGAAAAAAAAGAGAAAACATGAGGAAAAAAACACCTCGTGAACATGATTCATGATGTATATTTTATCATGATGGATCAAAGATATACAAAAAAAACTCGAGCAGGTAGGGTTTCCCTTTTCCCAGAGTAACTGGCTTCTGTAAATCTACTGATGTTAATAAACATGGACAGGTGTCACTCTGAGGGTGGAGGTCTGCTCTATGTACCTTCATGCCATCTTTACAACTGTAAATACCACTTCTAATTAAATACATGTTATTGCTAGCATATTTATATTAAAGCCATTATTTTTATTTACCTTGGCGATTAACTGTTTTCGTTTGTGGGGGTTTATTTCATGGAATCAGGGAGCGTCAAAGATTACTTTTTATGACAATGAAATGTGTTTTTCCTATTAAAAGAATCTGTTTCTTGTTTAAAGCTGTTGTCAATTTGTAAGAATTGTGTCAGGACCATGATAGGATGGAGATATAAACCTTAACGAGCGTCATAAAATTTTTATATGAATTTTCGGTAGGGGGGGGGGGGGGGGAGTATCTTTCAAAAATGACAAAAAATCAGAACTTTTACACAAAAAATAAAAGAACATGTTGTTGCACTGTTGCTGACATATTGTTCTGATCAGAAATTGAGCTTATATTAGGACCCTAACTTTGAATGTTTATTTTGATAAATAACTAACCTGACATGAAATAGCAGAAATTGAATTGTAATGTATTATCTGATGCAAGTCAGTATGTTAAATGTGCAAAATTTTATTAAATTGTGTGATTTGTTTTTTTTTATTGATGTTATTTTGTAATTTGGTTTAAAGTCACATCTTATATTTGCATGCCATCTTTTCAACATATAATTAAAGATAACTAAAACGTCATGTGTTTCACAAATAAACTGATATCCTTCTACCATTTGAAGATATCTTAATGTAAGAATCTTTTTAGCCCTTTGATGAAAAATCTTTTTGCCATCTAGAAACTATATAATTATTATGTATGTAATTATCAATAATATAATAACTAAAGCATTACCAAATCGCAGTAAAGTGTTAACTCCTAAGGAGTTAACACTTTACTGCACTAAGGTGACAGTATATAATTATCCACTAAAAGCAGATTAACTTAACTTAAGAGGATGCAGCTCATTTTATGTAATAATTCTTTCCCATATTTCTTAATTTCATCTTCCCCTTGTTATCTGCCAATGCATTCAGTTGCTTTTTCATATTGTTTAAAATGAAAAATTTGTTTCTAGAAATAATACTAGGTTGTTTATTGATCATCTAATGAAACTTAAGTTATTGCAAGCAGGAAGATAAAATGAAAATCTTGAAGTTTTAGTGAATTATTTGTGTAACTTCCTTGGCATAGTTTAAATGAACTAGAATTATATATAGTGTTTTAATTAGGTTTTAATTGGCTAAGATAATTGTTATATGAATGACCTCAATTAATTAAGGAAGAAGAACTAAAAATGTTTTTGCTACAAACTAGTGGATCTGAGATTTCGATTAATAAGTTCCTTTTTAATTAATTACTTTTTAATAAATTACTTCTTAATTGATTAATTTATCTTTTTTATTGATACAATCTGTTGATTATATATTTACTTTCTGTCCAATATTATATATACTAAATGTTTAAGGGCTAATGTTTCAGAATTCTTCATTATCTTTGGCAGTTAAATGTTACTAAAAGTAGGGGGCATGTTAAGGTTTTTGAGGAGCCTAAACATTCAGGCACTGGTGACTCTATTGATTTATGGTACCTTTGCTAGTGGGGAACCAATAATGAGCCAAACCAGCTTATACATGTCTGCAGGATGTATTGCCATGTCAAGGGTTGTTGTTGTTGTTTTTGTTTTTTTGGGGGTTTTTTTTGGGGGGGGGGGTTACCTAAAAATCCCAACATGTGAAATTTGAAAATGTAAAATATTAAAGCAAATCTCTTAAACTGTTTCTTTCATTTAATTAAAAATTAGTGTCTTAATTTATGTTCTTTTATTATCAAATATTATCCTGACTTTATGACACGCTCCACTTGTATTACAGCATTCATTTACTCTGACCACTCTTAACAGGGAATATAAAACTACTAAAATAACAAGATGGAGATCTCTATCAAGAGTGCTCCTTTAGAGTTGCCTCTATTGACAGCTGGTCTTAAAGTAGACATTTATGAATTATACCCTCTAATTTACTGATAAGATTTCAATAGTTTTTCTTATCATTTCAAACACATATGGATTCCAAAGTGGTTCTAAAAGATTGTTGATAAATCTAAAGGCTGTGCCGAAAACAAACAACATAAAACAATTACAAATTAGTTAAGTTTGAAGAGGCCATATTGGAATCTAACAAGTATGAAAAGGCAGAGGTTAATAGAGTTATTGGTTAGTGAATAACATGATGGAGGTTTTTTCTTCCATTTGTATGTCTGGTTTTTCAAGAGTGCTGATTTGAAATAAAAACAAGGTCCTTCATGATGCAATCAAAGACATATTGTCTGAAGTGTTATTATTTGAAGTGTATAGCAGATACTTAATGCTGTTATTGAACTGTTTGACTACCTATCAAGAGGCCATTGGATGATTGAGACGGTGGATGAAGTATACTAGAGAGTGTTAGTGAAGTGGTGACGGTCGAATTACGTCTACATGGTGTCAGATTAGAGCTTGAATTATGTCTTTATATTCTCACATTGTACAGAAATATGTCTAGATCAGTACAAATACTAACAAAAAACATTGTATCTCTAGTAATAATGGTAATTACTTACATACACTTGACCCTTAACCTTGTCAAATCTGTGTAATGGACTTTTTAATAGGTGCTCGAAATTTGGAATTGTTTATCATTAGTTTAATCTTATTTATTTTAACTTGACTGCATTATGAAAGCTTAGAGCTTATTTCAACCACTCTATCTGGAACTAGTCGATGACTTCTAATCCAGTTACCTCTCTGGCGTGGGTTCGATCCCCGGGAGATGCTTTAGTAGTTTAGCGCGGAGGAAGGTAGTCTTGTACTGGTGTAACTCTCCAGGAACGATGGATAGGAAACTACCCGCCTATATGACTGAAATACTGTTGGAAAAAGGGGTAAAATGAAACAAACAAACAAACTATCTGGAACTAACCAGCATTGGTGAAAGATGTCGAAACATAGTTGTGACCCTTTTTAGGGCTTAAACCAACAAATAAATTAAGTGAGTCCACAGGTCTGAGGAAACATAATTATACCCCCACCACAAAATGTGGGGGGGGGCTATAATGGATTCGCTTTGTCGCGTCGGTCTGTCGGTCCGTCCGTCTCCATTTTCGTGTCCGCTCTATAACTCCTATACCACTTGAAGGATTTTCTTCAAACTTGGCTCAAATGTTCACCTCAGCAAGGGGATGTGCTGAACCCATGTTGCCCATGTGTCAGCTCAAGGTCAAGGTCACAATTGAAGGTCAAATATCAATCACAATCATATATTAGACAGTATGTCGTGTCCGCTCTGTCGGTCCTACAATAATTGAAAGATTTTCTTCAAACTTGGCTAAAATGTTCACCTCAACAAGGGGATGTGCAGAACTCATGTTGCCCATGTGTCATTTTAAGGTCAAGGTCACAATTGAAGGTCAAATATCAAACAATCAAATATTACACAATGTGTCGTGTCCGCTCTGTAAGTCCTACACTAATTGAAAGATTTTCTTCAAACTTGGCTCAAATGTTCATTTCAACAATCGGATGTGCAGAACCCATGTTGCCCATGTCTCAGCTCAAAGTCAAGGTCACAATTGAAGGTCAAATATCAAACAATCAAATATTACACAGTATGTCGTGTCCGCTCTGTAAGTCCTACACTTATTAAAAGATTTTCTTCAAACTTGGCTCAAATGTTCACCTCAACAAGGTTATGTGCAGAACCCATGTCACTCTTTTGCTGGCTTAAGGTCAAGGTCACACTTGAAGGTCAAAAATTGACTTAGAAAATGTTCTTTAATTTTTCCATATATCTGAATATTTCTGAATCTAGGAAAGGTATTTGCTTGAAACTTAAAATATAAATGAAGTGTCACAATTAAGATATGCTGGTCAAGTTTCATAACTCTGTATTGCATTTTAACAAAGTTATGCCCCTTTTTAATCTTCAAATTTACATACAATCACATATTAGACAATATGTTGTGTCCGCTCTATAAATCCTATACTAATGGAAGAATTTTCTTCAAACTTTTCTCAAATGTTCACCTAAACAAAGTTATGTGCAGAATCCATGTCACCTTTGTGCAGGCTAAAGGTCAAGGTCAGACTTGAAGGTCAAAAATTGACTTAGAAAATGTTCTTAGATTAAAACATGTTCTTGAATATTTCGGAAACTAGCATAGGTATTTCCTTAAAACTTAAAAGATATATGAGGTGTCACAATTACGATATGCAGGTCAAGTTTCATAACTCTGTTTGGATTTTGACAAAGTTATGCCCCTTTTTAAGTCTTTAAATTTACATACAATCAATACTAGACAATATGTTGTGTCCGCTCTATAAATTCTATACTAATGGAAGGATTTTCTTCAAACTTTACTCAAATATTCACTCCAATTGGGCGATGTGCAGAACCCATCTTACCCTTGTGCCAGCTGAAGGTCAAGGCCACACTTGAAGGTCAAAAATTGACTTATAAAAAGATTAGTATATTGGGAAAATGAAAGGTTATTTGTAACTGTTTCGAACATGATTTGATAATAGATATTTTTACTATTACCTGTACAATTAGTCTTTTTTTCACCAGAGATAATTTCTTTTTATGTATTTGTGTCACTTAAGTTATTCCCTTAACCACCTTTCCAAGTTGTCTTCTGTCAAGGACATTGGTGGGGGTATGAATCGCATTCAGCGATAGTTCTAGTTATGTGCAGATTTTAACAGCATTTGAATCAATGATATGGATTGCCAATTAATCTGTTATTAATGAAAACCTTGACCTTTATTGTTTATTTAAGGAAAGATCAGCAAGGGAGAGTGAGATTCACTTACGTAGCCTCTAACAGTACATAGCCTCCAACAGTACGTAGTTTCCAACAGTACGCAGCCTCCAACAGTACGCAGCCAAAAATTAGGACCATCATGATGACTGACAAAATTTAACAGAGAGTAGTATTGAATTGGGTCAGATTGAATGAATATATGTTCAGCTTCTTAAAGTAGTCACAATGACGTGCAAAATTTAAGGTCTCCTACAATGTCACAGGAGCTCTACAGTCATGCACTGCAGATGCTATTAGGAAACGGACAATCACCATCAAAACTCGGTGAGAATACAATAGGATGCTCCAAAGCAAAACCATCATAGCTATGATAACATTGTGACATACCAATCTTCATGAACAAATATTAGATTTTTCTTGTGATTAATCCCACAGCACTCTGGATACTAATATGTCACATCAATACAGTGAGAATGCATTACAGGGTGACAGGGGCTTAAGGATCATACCATAGGCAAAGACTCCTAAATTGAAAGAGTAATGGGGTTTTCTATAGTCTGAGAACATTAGCAGCACACTTCTAAAGGCACATCACTTAAATGGTTTTATTTTATTTATTGATATTATATGATTTTGTATAACACAGTCTTTTATATTTACTTGTATGAGATATGACCATTACATGCATGAAAGCATTACTATTGTACAGTTGTTGCTGTTTTGTTTAATAAATTAACCCATAACCTGCTACATTTCTATAATTGATCTGTTCAGCTTTGAATTTGAAACAGTCCATTCAAAGTTCAAGGGATTTCAATATCAAAATACAAAAATTGAGCTGCCAACACTTTAGAGCCTGGTCAGACTGTATGGATAAGCAGGCTGGCCTGGCTCTATACTGGTGGCAAAGGCTACCCTGGTTATCTCTTTTGGTTCCAGCAGGTTAAGGGGTCTTTTTAAGCTTCACACAGTTTCATTCATAGGTTACAGCATTTGTTAAACATTTAATTTAACAACATGATTTATTATGACTGTTTTTAATTGAACAAATGTGCAGTTTGGATATTTTTTTCTCATATATTTTCCATTAAGTATCATATTTATTAAAGGGATATTCAGGCAAAATAATGACAAAAAATATTAAAATGATTGTCTGTACTCAAATCACGCTAAAATGACTTTTCTTTACGTTTCAGCATGAATTTCTGTTTAAATTCTATATATTTAGGTTTTAAAGCGTAAATATATCTATATATGTTGAACAAACTTAGACGCCAATAGAATCACCAAATAGTTTTTAAACAAGTCAGGTGACTTGAACAAACCCTTGAAGTTACAATAACATATATTGTGGATATTGTATGATTGAAACAAGCCTTAGTCATTCATTTGACATGTTCTTTAACGTTTCCAGAGTTCACTTTGACAACTATTGTGAAATGCTAGCGCTCTAACCTGACCCACGCGGGTCAAGTTAGGAAACCACCATTTTGTTCTTTATATGGAGAAAAGTTTTGTTCCTTTGACTGTCTAATATATTCATTTTGAGGGCATTTACGTAATAATGAATGAAAAATTCAAAACTAAGAAATGAAAATTTTGCCTGTGTCTCCCTTTAAGCTAAAGAGTCGTAATCTGATGGCGAAATCAAGCTGTTTCTTGCATATCACATAATGAAAGACTTATGGCTATAATAATTTTGATAGCACTGTTACCGTTATAATTTTCCTATTTACTTTATTTAATGTTTTTTTCCCTGCACCATTATGTGTTCATAAGCATACTTTTCAATTACTTATGTCAGACAAACTACATTTTCTAGACATCAAAGAATGTGTCTAGTTACCTGATTTGGTGCCATAAAGTTTCAGATTTCTTCAGTTATGTCTACTGACTAATTTTTCTCTATAATATGGTACTGGTTTCATAATGCAAGACTAAAATAATAAATCTTTGTTGGATTTTAGCTCACCTGAGCCTTACCAATATCATAAAAAGATAAGAGTATTTATGATCTGACATATGACCTTATCTAGTGTTCATTAAGGATGTTTTTGGGAGTTTTCATATACGCATAATATTATATAGGTGAAATTAAAACTGTTCAATAGAATTTCTTTAAACTTGGCAGTTTGTTAGAATATGATAATAGAAACATTTCTGTCTACATGTATATGAAAACTCCAGAAAACATCTTTAATTATTGTTGTTCACAATGTCTATCAGCATACAGCATCACCTTATTACAATAACTGTTTAACTCCTATTAAATTTTGAAGGACCAATTACTGCACTAAGATGACAACCAGTACTGCACTAAGGTGATGACCGGTAGTTTCTTGCCAACCGTGCAGTAGATCATATTATTAAGAATGTTTCCCCGTCTAATTCTTGTTTTGTCCAGAGATCAAAATTTGCTATTTACTAGTTTTCCAATTGCTGAGGTGGACAATATTAGTTTTTCTTATGATTTCTTGTAATACTGATATTGGGAGCCAAAAATTTTGCCACTTGTTCAAGTAATTTTTGGTTGTTGGATCTAAGATCTTTATTTAACCTTTCACATTCTACAAGGGATTATTTCATGTGAAAAGCCCTAAAATGAAATATTGTTCAAGTTTCCAGGTCCCTCTCTTTTCCCACCTTCCCCTTTCCCAATGTATTGTGTTTCCAAGCAAAAACAAATTATTTTTTTTTATACTAAGCATGGAAGGTGGCAAAATTTTATGGTTCTGTCAAAAATGAAAAAAAAAATGATTGGTTATTGAATTCTTGGTTGTCTGCTTTCTGCATTAAAAAAAGCAAAATGCAAATAAAGTTATTTAACTTAATCATAGAGCAGTTGAAATAAGATTTTGCTGGGTCATAAATTCGTGGATTGACCTATCCACAAAACTTAGCACCCCATGAATAATAATGATTTTGTAGTAATTTATTAAGCATTAAACTTATATTCATTATAAGATTATGATTTTGTACTTACACTACCCTGTAATTGTAAATCATGCAATTTAGTCATTAATATACCACAAGGGTTTTAAAAAATATTTTGTTCGTTATTGAATTTGAGAAAATTATTATAAATATAAAAAAACAAATTTAAATAGTGACTGAAATTAGAGCCCCATCTTGAGCAGGTGTTAAACTTGTATATCTGGCCATTAATCTGTTGATTTTAACAATGTTCCGGTTATTAACTAGTGAAGTCACTAGACTTTAAATGATCTCATGCCATATAATAGACCTTTTACTTTCTTATTAATTGAAAAGTGTCTTCATATTCAGATAAATTGAACAGCAAGAAGACTCGGTATTATTCTGGATATTGATATTCTCAGCTGATATTGATGAAAGAGAAAAACACAGAATAATTATTGCTTGACAATTTGTCCAATTTTGAGTTTACAATAAAAAAAATTTTAATTGCTTTTTGTCCCTGTTGGCCTTTATTGAATGTTTCTGATCGTTAAAGTCGTGTGTAAGGCTTGCTCTTTCACAAGGGACATTTAATTTTATTTAATTGAAGAAAAAAGCCACCTTGCATAATTATGATCTGAATGTTCTTATTTACAGTGCCAGAAATAATACATGGAGAGCCTCTTGGGATATGGTTAAAACTCATTAAAATGGAATTAATAAGTTTAACCATGTGAAGTTTAAGCTTTAGCTTTACTGTGCTTGTATAGTAGCTGATTAGCCTTAAATATAACCAGTGCATAGTCAGGTCAGTGACTGCACATTTGTGCAATCTGACCAGATTCTATACTGATGGCTGCCTAAATTCAAATTTTCATCTTAATATCCCTAAAATTGGTTCCAAAAATGGAAAAATTTGACAAGTCCATTTAAGGAATTCAGAAGGTTAAAGGTATTTTTATGTCCAGAATGTCACCTTGTCCCCGTCTCTAATTGTCCCCGCAAGAAAAGTAACTCTGTATTATATATAAACGGATACAGTGATCTTGCATAGAGATGATGAAATATTGTTCTTTTTTTAGGTTATCAACTTGAAATTTGAACCTTATTGCTACATAATACTCTCCACTGAAACACTTATAATTCTAAAGTAGTTTATCATAAAAAAGTGAAAGATCACTTGACCAAAGTTTTCTTCCTTCTCACATTAAGCAAGTAGATTGCTCGGAGTTAGAATGCTACAATGTGTAGGTAACTCTTAAACAGTTTGGAAATGTTTTGAATTTTGATATATTTACTACAGTATCCAGTTAGCTTACAGAACATGGGTGGTTCTACTCAGTTGCCCATTCATGCCGGAAGTAAAATATTTACACCACACTTTGTAATAATTTGTATTTTTAAATAATGTTTGGGTTTTTTTCTTAATGATAATTTTAAGTAATATCTCCTGTAGTTAACATACCAACTAAAGTACAATATGATGCCTTATGGAAAACTCTATATTATCATTTATTAAATATTATAAAAATAGCAAAATTGGCTTTGATAGCAGTACTATGTCATGAGAGTCTTAAAGTTAAGTCTTTCTCTGATACTGTGAACACCATATAATTATGATGACTCATGTAAAGGAAGATGTGACATCAGCTGGGTCCCTATGCTCTTTCAGGCACAAGCAAAGAGGCATTAACCAACCTTCCATTACAACCCAACAGAACCCATCGCATGAAGTAATGTAATGTCTCTTGTAGGATTCTGATCCACGACTGTAACACTGGCTGTGATCCTAAGACAACAATCCTTAATCATGTTGGTAAAGAAGCCACTTCACTTAAATTTTGTTGTCGTAACATTATGACCCCATTGAATATAATTGGTTTATCTTGAAATAAACAAATTTAGCATACAAAATAGATAATGTAGCATGGAAATTGTCATGTTAGATTAGATATAACATCATCATCATTTCAGATGCAATATGTTATATTTCTTCCTGGAATTGCTAATTTAATTGTCTTTTCAGGTTTTGTGAGGAATGGCATCAGTCAAATGGAATAAAGAATATCCAAGGTGGTATCTGGCCGTGCTAGGTGTAAAAGTATGTTGTCTTTTATTCCCTTTGATACCTTAGTATAGTATATCTCTTAAAGGAACTCAACTTCGGTCCAAAAGCCTGAAAATTTGATTTTTGTTACATAGACCAGCTGGGGGCATTCAAAACAGAAAGATATGCAAAAGATTATAAAGAAATATACAGAGATTTAATTTGAAAATCTTTTTTTTCTTCTTTTTTTTGTGCTATTCTTTGGCCAATTTTGTAAGGCTTTTTAATTTTTGGTTATTTTTTTACAATTAAAATAATTATTCTGAAAAATCATGATGACCAAATAGTTTGTAATTTTGCACGTTAGCTAATGACCTAGACCTATATCAAATGGAAAATTTATCTTGAAAACTTATTTCCAATCCCGTTATGTCAAAAAATGTCAGTCGAGTCCCTTTAAGAATGCCCAAAATAGCAAACTTGAGTATGTTGCAGACGCTGTTATTTCAGTCTGTTCATGGACAGTAATGGTATGTGCAAGCTTACATCCATACCCATATAGCATTGGTTTAAGCAGTATTTCAACAATCCTTTAAAATTTAAATTTGGGTACATCCACAGATGCTAAGTTCAATATCCTTTCAATTTAAAAAAAAAAAATTGTACTTATTTTGTATTTCTTTAAAGGTCATATACTAATATTATAAGGAGATTAAGCATGTCATACAGTGTAGAAATAATATTATAAAATGTATTTTTGTTAACATAACTTCTAAAGGAAATCAAGCAGTATAAATGCCCTCTAATTACCATAAATTCTATGTAATAACTACATACAGCATATGTTCCTTCAGCTCACATGATTTTGTTTGTTAGTTCTCCAGATGTTACTATATATTTTATCCAAAACTAAATCTTTTCTTTTTTTATTATTCTATTTTCATTTTTTAAAGTCTGAGTGGCAACATCTTGCTAGCATAGATAAAGAAGTATTGGTAAACTGTCAAAAAGTTTATATGAAATCTGTTAAGGCTGATGCAAATCAAACCATGCTTATTGGTTTAATGGACACAACTTCTGGTACTCAAAATAAATGTACTTTAACGGTGAAATGTAGATCAAAAAGTGATGTTTGTCAGTTGAACTGACCTTTTTATACTTGTCCTAACTTATGTTTCTTAGAGGTGAAAATATTTTTGGAATATTTTCTCTGAAATGCAGTCAAGTATATATGTTTTGGAAAACTGCCCTCAAATATTATTTTTCTGGAGTACTCATTGAAACAAACAAGAACCAATTTCTTGCTTGTTGATTTTTTTTGTTTCATAATAATATTATTTTTATATTGTTTCGCAAATTTACATAAAATATTTAATTTAAATAATAATAAAATTTGCTCATGTGTCGTTCAATACATCATTTTTGTGGGGTAAGGTTGACAGAGAAAATGGACATTTGCCGCTCACCTTTTCAGTCAAGGTGAGCATTTCCCTCCTCCTCTTCTATTTTGGAAGAGCAGACATTTGCCCCCCTAGAAATTCTGATGGCTGGACATTTTAAACAGGGGTGGGATGGGGGGTCAAATATCCGCCCTCCAAACTCTTTAGGGCCTGAGCAAATGTGCCCTTTCAAAACACACATATATGAGAAAGCAAATGTCTGGCATCAAAATAAGGGGGCAAACATCTACAATTGGTGCTACACCTTGTCTGATCCTCGATTTAATATTTCAGACAAGAGTGGACACCTGGGTATAACTATTTACCTTCTACGGGCTAGAAAGCTTCATTGCCAAAGTGGGGATTCAAACACAAAGCAAAGCAAAGATGCTTGCAAGGTGAGTGATTCAGACACTCACCTCTGTAGACCTGTATGCATTTTCAAACAAATATTAGAGATATTCTGATTATAAATCTTTATATTAAACATCTGTCTTACCTATGATTCATATTTTGCTGGCTTTGCACTTTAAACAGGTGCATCATAGTTTATATCTGTAACTAAATGACTTTTTTAAAGAGATGGGTTTTTTTAATACTTATGTCAACCCTAAACCTTTGCAAACATCATATTTAAAAAAAAAACTCGACAAGAAATGTCTATGTAATGATTTTACACTAAGGAGAGAAGTAGATCTTTTTCTTTTTTTTCAATTTGAATGTATACCTTGCTGATAAATAGGCAGTAATTAATTAACAGTAGATGATAGAGCACAAGCTTGTTTATTTATAATGATGTAACATCACAATAATTTATAGATTATGCCCCTACAGTTCATAGGTATGTTTATAATTTTCTCCAGGTATATACCAGAAATAGATGTTTTATTTTGTGACCTAGTTAGGCATCTTGCCAGCTCTCAGCTGATTACAAATAGGTCAATACTGTATATACCAAGCCAGTCTAAACAAACAGAACCAGTATTGATTATGTACAAGAATGAGAAAAGTTTTGTTTCCTTAAGAGAAAATATAATGAATTTATGTTAAAGTAAATTGAAAGCTATGATTTATGCAATAAGTAATTGTTATTAAGTATAAAAAAAAACACTGAATACAGATGGGATGTATAATCTGTGTTTTGAAGATAGTGCAGTATTATTGCTATTAATTTTTATTTAAATTTAATTTGAATTTCAGGGAGTTTGGCGCTCATCATTGAAATATGATTCCCGATTTTGCATCAGTTGAAAAAAGGAGGAAACAAATAAAACAGTAAATCTTCAGAATGGTGTTCTTTTCCATATGTTGTGTCAGATGGTTTTCAGAAGTCATGTCACAGGGTTTACAGAAGTCATGTCACAGGGTTTATGGAAGTCATGTCACAGGGTTTACAGAAGTCATGTCACAGGGTTTACAGAAGTCATGTCACAGGGTTTATGGAAGTCATGTCACAGGGTTTACAGAAGTCATGTCACAGGGTTTTCAGAAGTCATGTCACAGGGTTTACAGACATCATGTCACAGGGTTTACAGAAGACATATCATAAGGTCTGCAGAAGTTCTGTCTAACAAGGGTTTACTGACTGAAAACAGTGCAAATAGTGAAAAGTTACAGGAAATTGTTGGTTCCATTCAAGATTTAACTAAACTCATTGAAATAATATAATAAGGATGTTAGAGCTTGATGTAGGACCTGCAGTTTGTGATGGTATCCTGTACTGCTGAGACAATAAATGCAATAAGACAGTGATCAGTATAACAGTGATTTATAACACAAACATAGCAGATAACATTGGTAAAACTTCCTGTTTAGTAGACTTTTAGGTGGTTAAATACACTGACATAGATTAACAATGTAAACATTGGATATATCAATACAATCTACCTGTGAAATATAAATTACATCCTATAAGTAAATCTTAACCATTTCTATTATATAATGGACAAGGTGGGGAGAAAAAACTCCACTTGCCATTTTCAATTTTTGCTATTATTTTTCTTGGTAATCAACTGACAGATGGATTTAGTCAGAGAAAAAAAAGGAAGATTTAAAGATTTAAACATAATGAGGATTGTAAATAGACTTGTTGTATAAAAAAGTTTTGATTACCAGGTGTTTATGAAACAATGATCTTATTTCTCTATTTCAATAACAATATACGCTGGCAACTACAACCAACAGATCCTCTCATATCACTTTAATCAGCTTTTGTTAAAACAAAAAATATGAAAAGAATAAAAATTGTTTTATTTTCCCATAGCAAACTTCAACAGATGTGATGCAGTGTTACTTAGCAATAACTTTGTAATACAAGGCTTTTTAAAGTCACACTTAGTTGTAATCTATTAAAGTGTTAAATGGTTGTTTAACTTTTAAATAAGATCCATATTTTTATTTAAATAATCTGGTTATGTGTTTTAATATTTAAATAGCAAATAGTGCACCTTTAGAAATTTTTTTATTATCTTAATTTCACCAGATGTAAACTTGAAAATTTATTTTGATTGTCATGAGTCATGATTTTAATGTTTATATTGTTGTGAAAAACAAAATAAATAAGACTGATCCTTTTATCTTATAATACCTAATTGTTATAAAGTAACACTGTTGTATAACATAATTAAGTTGACAACAGTTTCTATCTGGAGTCTGGACATGCAAACTGGTCTGGCTGCAATATTTGACATCGTACTGTATATGCATGATTAAACTGGTCTGGCTGCATGGACAAATCAAAGCACAGAAGGCGCTGAATTTGTTTGGGTCTCAGAATGTCAGAAAGGTGAAGGTTGTGAGATTATAAAACAATTTGTTTTTGTATATTGACACCAATGCTCTCAAGCGTTTTAATTGTAGTAGATTGGCTTTAATTTAAGACTATAATTAGTAATCAACACTGATATTCAATCAAATGTTTATTTGACTTAAACAATTTGAAAAAAAAAAGTTGCCTTAACTGGGATTTGAACTCCAGACCTCTCGCTTCCTAAGCGAGCGCGCAAACCACTCGGCCATGGTGAATTTATATGTTAACGTCCTGAAGAAAACCATATTATTCTAATTTAGGGTTTATAACGACGCTAACTGTTGTTTATATAAATAATCATGGCGTTTACTATAAGCATGTATATCTATAAAGAATAAAACAATATTAGAAATCTTCGACCATTCGGGAATTATTTTGCTTGAAAATTAATGCGCCTGTCATGTGACCATATTTACGCAGTGATCTCCCCTGAATTTTTTCAGCCTTAGTGTTACATATAAAGGGAAGTAACCGCTTCAAAAAAGGGGACTACTTTCGGCATTTGCAATTAACAGCATTAGAGTCTGAAATTTCGCTACCATTATTTGTTTGGTCTGACGACCCAAACAAATAAAAAAGTAGTACACTGCAAAACAAACAAATTTCAAAATTAACTTATCCATTCACAACTTATCATTTTCATCATTATGTAACAATTTTATTAAAAATATTTCTTTCAGAACCAAATATTTTCATATTATTTGGCCTGGAAAGGCTTACCTTATCAATAATTGTTTTATAATATCAAATGTTATCAATTCAAATTTCTTTCTCATTAATATTTGTTTCCCTGAAGAAAATGTATTACTCTAATTAATTAAATAGCCCAGATAACCTGTTTTTTCCTTCATCACAGGGCGTGCTAATATTCTCTAATATCATTCATAGATTACTTTCCAGTCTATTTACTTTTATCTACCTTTGATCGTTTTTCAATTTTATGTGTTGCTTTATTTGCATTTTGACCACTTTTTATGGCTTGTAACAATTCTGTCAGAATTATGGGTAATTTTAATAGATAGATCATTCTTTGGTGATTCATTATACATAGTTTCAATCATTTACTTTTTTATTTCTGTTTGCCAACCCTCCTCATGTTTCTCCGATCAAGCTTTGCCCTTGAGGGGGGAATAACGGTGACTCAACTTTTGTGGTTTTTGGCTGGCTCTTATCAAAGTATATATAAGTGTAAGTGGTAAATATAACATGAAGTTACTACTGTCCTGAATTGTTAGCATTCATTCTGTCATATGTGATAAGTTTCACATGTAAGCCAGTGTATTTTTCTTAGATTATTGAAAAAATGTTTGAATATTTTATAAAGGGAGAAATGTTTGAGAATTTCTAGGTCGGATGAGTGAATAACAACTTGGCATTATTGGTGCCATGGCAAAGGCCAGGGCTAGTATATAAACATGTCTTTATAAATTGGTAATGATTAAGTGCCTCATTTTAAGTGGTTACCACACCCATACTCAAGTTACAGTCTTTTTGTTCATTTATTTTTTTCCAAAGTCATCAAAAACTTACAATGGCTCATCAAATGTTATGCTGACATTATTCAAGGTCATTCCTTCACTTGGGGTCAGATTAAGACTTTGTAAAGGTATGCCTGTCAGATGCAGTTGTTTTCTTCTGTAAATGTGTACATCTTTTGGTTTTATTCCTGTTGGACTATACTAACTACCACATCTACAGCCAGTAGAGTAGTAGAGGTCTCTGTTATTGGCAAGGTTTTTGAGTCTGGTACCTAAAAAACCTATTTTACAGATACTAAAATTTTGGTACCTGAGTCTATGTTTTGCATTAAACAGAGCACTGTTGCCTTGTTATTTCTTCCATAGGGATGTCTTTTGCCAAATAGTTAAGGTTGTTGACTTCAAACCACTTGCCTCTCACCACTGCAGGTTTGAGTTGCACAAGCGTCAGATTCTACATGTGAAAGCTATCCAGCTGGCTTAAGTAATGTTGTTGTTTCTACTCTGGTGCTTGAAATCTTGTCATATGTTGGAAGTCATAGATTCCACATTGATAGTTTTCAACAGTGATGTAAATTTATTTGTCTCTTCTTTTGTTTTGTATAAATCTTTTTACTTGCTGTGACTTTACTGGATATCTTTCTTTTATGATAGAATTCATCTGGTGGGGATTTGAATCTACATATGAATCATACGCTCTTTCATAGGGAGATGCCATTTTTCTCCATTAAGTGTATATAATTATATAAGGTCAATTAGCATGAAGAAAATGCAACGGGTGTAGTGGTTAGCATACTGGACTGGCAGTCCAGAGACCCGTGGTTCGAGTCCCAGCTACGGCATGTCGATTTTTTCTCGTGACTTTTCTCTGTGTTACTGTAAAACACACATATATAAGTCAATGTATTTATATAACATAACCACCTAGTCATGGATACCTCAATTTGTAATAAATTCATGATTTGATTTTTTATAGATTAGTGAAGAAATGATCCTGAAACATAAAATTTGAGCTTATCTGACTGAAAGTATCTTTTTGCTTAGATACCCATCTAACATTTATTATAATTTTGCATGTTTTGCAACATGTTTTCTGTATACGAGACATCACATTAGAATGTAGACTATTAGATAGAAATCTTGAACTCAGTGTTAAATACTGCTGAAAAATGATGACAAAATCTTATGCTATGACTCAGTGTATATCTATTTTTATGTCATTAATGGCAAAATATAGTTGTTGAATACTCTGGTATTAATGTTGAACATGTCTTGTTACCATTGTTTCATCTTGGGTAGGTAATAGGTATTAATAATTAGTAATAGATAAAAAAACAAAACAAATTAAGCAAATTTCAATATATTGGTCAAAAGTTATGTTTCAACATAAAGGTTCTTTTATCCATGGAAAATCAAATTGATAAATAATTAACAAAGTTAAGCTAAATTCAATATTTGACCTTGACTGTCGAGGTCATTTAAAGGTAAAGGTCATATTTGAATTACTTGAAACATGTTTTATCGTAAGGAATTACAAAATTATGATCAATTGCAGCAAAATACACTAACCTTTAAATAGTGCAAATGTCAAAATAAGGTCAAGTTCAAATAAATCTTTCATGTCTTGTCCCAAGGATTGTTGTGCAAAAGTATGAAGGCAATCCATTCATTTAACTGTGAAATTACAATATCTTCAAGGTCAAGGTTATTTATTGGTCAAGGTCAAATTAAGCTTCATCTTCTTTAAGACATTGTAAGGTAGTTGTGATCAAGTATGAAGACACTCCCTTCATAAATAGCAAAGTTATAGTCATTTATAGCAAAAAATCAAGTAAAATGGGAAGGACAATCTGACTGTAGCAGTAGCTCAAAATATTTCTTCGAAACAGTTGAGTTTAAAACTGGAAAATGAGAGATCCCACCGATGCTATGAAAACTATAAAATTACATGAAAAATGCAGCCTTTATTAAATAAGTTCTTATAGTAATAACTTTAACCTTGTAGCCTTATAGTAATAACATTTACC